CTCCACCACAGCGCGTTCCTCGGCGACGCGGCCGCGCGCGCGCTCCTCGCGGAGCGCGGCGCGGAGCCCCGGAAGCCCCGGGCCGTCGTCGCGGAGCGCGCGCGCCTCGTCGCGCGCGTGGGCGCGCTCGAGCGCGCGCGGAAGGACGCGCGCCTCGCGCCGCGCAAGCCCGCGGCCCGCGGCGGCGGCCGCGGGGCGCCGCCGCGGTCGCCCGCGCGGCCGCGCGCGCCGCCCGCGGCCCCGCCGGGCGACCGGCCCGCGTCGCGGCCCCAGCCGGGCGCGTGCCGCCGCCAAAGGGACGCGAACGCGCCGCCGCGCGCGGCCGCGCGCCTCCCGAAGCCCGCCTTCGGCGAGGGGCTCTAAGGCGCCTTGCGCACTTCAACAACTCAAGATGAAGCTCGCCGAGCATCCTCCGCAAAGCATGGCTTCTCGACGCCCCGGCGGATCCGCGGCTCGTGGGCGGCTCCTCTCCGCCGTCCTCCTCGCCGCCCTCGCCGCGGCGACCGAGGGCGCCGAGACGTTGGACGGCGACCTGCGCGCGCAGCGCATCGAGGCCCACAAGGCGAAGCAGCGGCCGCGCCTCGGCCGCACGGCGTCGCTGACGGCGGAGATCGCCGCGCGGCGGGACCACGCCAAGGCCGGCGAAAACTCCGGCTTCCGGAGCGGGCGGCCGCGCCTGCGGAGCGACGGCCCCTACTTCGTCCACGAGCGGGCCGCGGCGGACGTCGCCGTCGCCGCGACGGCCGCCGCCGCCGCGGACGCCGCCGCCAGGGGCCGCGCGTTCGCCGCGAACCTCTTCGGCGCGCCGGGCATCGGCGACGGCGTGACGCGCGTCTCCGACGCGGCGAACGACCTGGGCCTCGCGGCGCCCCTCGCGCGCGCGCTCAAACGGGGCAAGCTCACCGTCGCCTTCTCGGGCCATTCCGCGGCCGCGGGCCACGGCAACATGTTCAACGAGAGCTTCCCCTTCGCGTTCCAGCGCCTCCTGGGGCCGGCCCTCGCCGCCGCGGGCGTCGAGCTCCGCGTGGGCAACTTCGCGCTCGGGGGCACGCACTCGAGGCCGCATCCGACGTTCTGCGCGCGGGAAGTCTGGGGCGACGACGTCGACTACGTCAACTGGGACTTCGACATGACCGAGGCCGGGGGCCAGGACCGCGACGGCATGCTCGCCTTCGCCGCGGCGCTCGGCGCGGCCTACGACCCGCCGCCCGTGCTCGTCGTCAAGGGCGGCGGCGTCGACGACCGCGCGCGGCTCGCCGCCAAGGTCCTCGAGCCCAACAGCCCCGTGCTCCGCTACGACCCGCGCAAGCTCATGACGGGCCCCTTCGCCGAGGCCGAGCTCGACAGGAACAGGAAGTGCGTCGTCGCGCTCCTCGCGCCGAGCCTGGCCAAAGGCGGCGGCTGCGCCGACGGCGCGCGCTTCCACAGCGGCTCCGGCGGCCGCTGCTCGTCCCAGGTCAAGTGGCACCCGGGCTGGGCGGTCCACGAGTTCCACGGCGCGGCCTTAGCGCTGCCCTGGCTCAAGGCGCTCGAGAATCTGCTCCGCGACGTCGCGGCGACCGGCGCGAAGGCGCTCGACGCCGTCGAGAAGCCCAAGCCGTGGGCGCCGGCGCCGGGCTTCGATTGGGGCGACGCGGGCTTCCTCGCCGAAAAGGTCGCCGGGGGGCTGGCCTGCGCGACGGCCTACGAGCCCCGCGCGGGCCGCGGCGTCGCGGACCTCGTCAAGGACGCGAGCGCGCTCGAGGCGCCGCGGCAGCGCGCGGCCGCGGGCGTCGAGCCCGACGGCTGCGGCCAGGGGCCCATGGACGCGCGGGGCGCCCTCCTCGTCGCGCCGGACATGGGAGCCGTCGAGCTCGCGCTGCCGGGCGCGAAACCGCCGCTCGCGACGCTGCTGCTCTGCGAACCGGCGACGGGGTGGAACCGCGCGCGCGGCATGGTGCCCCTCGACGACGGCGCCAAGGCGACCTGGACCCTCGACGGCGCGCCACTGACGCTCGCGCCCCTCCCGCGCAACAGCCACCTCCAGCGGTGCTACGTCGCGACGGCCGCGGGCGCCGGCGCCGGCGCCGGCGGCGCCGGCGCGGTCCTCGCCGTCGCGGCCAAGGGCGGCAGCCACGAGCACCTCCGCATCTCCCAGGTGATCTGGAGCAAGTAAGACGAGAACAGGCGGCTGGGTGGGTGCGGCTGCCGTAGACGGCCGACGAGGCGTCGGGCGGGACGTCGTCGAGGAAGGCCTCGAGGACGTCGCCCCGGGACTTGTCGCCGGCGCGCCGTGTGGCCGGCCGCGGCCGCGAGCTCTTGTGGACACGCTGTGCACAGCATGGACGCACCAGCTCGCAGCGCGTCGGAGCCGGCGCTCCCCAACGGCGCCGTCGCAGCGCCCGCGGCGGCGGCGCCGGCGCGCGCGCCGGGCGCCGCGGCGAGCGCGGCGGCGCCGCCGGCGCGCGCGCCGAGCGCGGGCTCGCTGTCGGCCGGCGCGCCCGGTGCGATGAAGAAGTCGAGCAGCGCCGACGGGAAGCTGCAGCAGCTGCTGTCGCTGGCGCGGGACCGGCTGCAGGCGCAGCAGAAGCTGCTGGCGTCGCGCGAGGCCCGCATCTCCGAGCTCGCGCGGCAGCTCGAGGACGAGCGGTCGCGCGCGCCGGCCGCGGGCGACGCGCGCGCGCTGACGCCCGCGCGCGCGCTGGGCCACGTGTCGGAGCGCACGGTCTTCCCCGGGTCCGCGTCGGCGGGCCGCTGGATCCTGTTCGAGTTCGAGGAGTCGGAGGACCTCGAGTGGCGCCACTTCGAGAGCGCGGCCGCGGTCAACGACTTCGTGCGGCGGGACCCGGGCCGCGAGCCCGTCGTCGTGCCCGAGGCGGCGATGACGCAGCACGACGCGAGCCGCGTGCGCGAGCGCGCCGCGTCCGACGTCGCGCGCGCCACCGAGGACCTGCGGAAGTACCGCGTCGCCGCGGAATTGGAGCGGAAGCAGAAGGACGCGCTCCTCCGCGACGCGACGGCGAGCCGCGTGTCGCGGGACCAGAGCGCCCTCGACCGCGCGCGCGACGCCCTGCTCGAGGCGACGGCGCCGCCGCCGGCGCCGCCGGCGCCGTCGGCCGACGAGGCGCGCGCCGCGCTGCAACGCGCGCACGACGCGCTCGAGGCCGAGAACGCGCGGCTCCGCGCCGTGGGCTCGGACAGCGCCCTCGCGGCCCAGTGGCGCCAGCGCTACGAGACCGTCGCCGGCGACGCGGAGCGGCTCCGCGAGGAGAACCGGCTGCTGCGGGCCGCGCGGCGCGGCGCCGCGGGGCCGGACCTCGCGGCCAAGTACGACGACCTCAAGCGCGAGTACAAGCTCTACCGCGAGAACGCGCGCAAGGCCCTCAAGGAGTCCGACGCCGCGGGGACCGCGGCGCCGCGCGCGCTCGACGCGCTCGGCGACCGCGGCGACCGCCGGCGGCCGCCGCCGCGCGGCGCGCACCCCGAGGGCGACAAGTTCGCCTACCTCAAGAACCTCATGACCAAGTACCTCGGCACGGCGGACCCGGACGCCAAGGAGCACATGGAGCGCGCGGTCATGATGGTCCTCGGCTACACGGACGACGAGAAGGCGCGCATCCTCGCGGACCGCGACGCGTCGGGCAGCGGCCTCGCGCCCGCGGGGCTCGCGGCCTGGTGGGGGTAACTCGGCCGAACCTAGGGCGTTACGGCCTAGTCGCCGTAGCGCGGCAGCCCGAGCGGCCGCGGCGGCGCGGCCGGCGCCGCGGCGGCGGCCCAGGGCCACTCCTCGCCGACCTCGTAGTCCGCCGACGGGCCCGCGTCCTTCTCCGCGAGGGCCAGCACCTCCTGGAGCGTCCGCCGGCCCTCGGCGACGAGCTGCTTGATCGCGAAGTCGTCGCGCTCGGCCTGGTGCCGCCGGTACCTGCGGCGCGCCGTCTTCGCCGCGGGCGCGCGCGCGCTTCTCGAGACGCTGTGATTCCACGTGGACCGCACCTGCTCCAGGACGTCGGCGCCCGCGCTGCCGGGCACGCGCGCCGCCGCGCGCAGGTGAGCCCGGAACTGGGCGCGCACCTCGGCGCGGCGGATGAAGACTTTGAGCTCATGCATCTCGACGTGTGTGGCTGATCGTGTGCGATGCTAGAACGGTTTATGGAGTGTGAAGTTAGATCAGTAGCTCCCGCTCGGCTCTCGAGGCGCGCGTCCTGAGTCGCGTCTTATGAGTAGCTACCAAGCTCTGCTTGCCACGCCCATGCTCGGCTGATCAGACGATCGGATGAGCAGCAACGTCGAGGCAACGAAGCGTTGTTGCCGTCAATAAACCCACCTTGAATCACCGCGGCCGAGTCTTGTTCAGCATGGGTCTTGACCAGCTTCCCGGCGACGTGCTGCTCCTGATTCTAGAATGCTCTCCTACGAAGCAGGCCTTCGCTTCTTTACGCAGCACGTTCGTGGGCATCTATGAGTTGAGCGCGCCTCTCAAAACGCTCCTGGTGACCAAGCGCAAGCTGGTCTGGCGCGACAAGATCGTGCGGAACGAGGCGGTGCTGCGGCACGGCGGCACGGTCCGCATCTGCTCGTTTTCTGCCGACAGCGCGCGCATCGAGACGATGACTAGGCGCGGTTCGGTCTACATGGTGCGCACCTGGGACGCGGAGACGGGCGCGGCGCTGAGCACGCTCGAGCGCCCGTTCGCGGAATGGAACGGCGTGACGTCTCCCGACGGGACGCGCTGGGTCAAGCTTGGATCTCCGGTGGAGCTCTACGATTTTGAAGGTGGGACCATGCTTAGGCGACTCGCGCAAATGCCCGCATACCATTTCACACCGACGCGCCGCGTGTTCTCGCCCGACAGCGCGCGCTTCGTGACTGCAGGCCATAAGGCGCGAATCTACAGCGCGGTCGACGGCGCGCTGCTGACGACGCTCCGGGGCCACACCACGAGCCACGAGTTCTCCCCGTACGTCTACTGCGCCGAGTTCTCGCCCGACGGCGCGCGCGTCGTCACCGCGAGCCACGACCGCACGGCGCGCGTCTGGGACGCGGCGACGGGCGCGACGCTCATGACGCTCCGCGGCCACACCGCGCCCCTCTACTGCTGCGCCTTCTCGCCCGACGGCTCGCGCGTCGTGACGGGGAGCGCCGGCGGCGGCGGCAGGGCGCGCGTCTGGGACGTGCGCGCGAGCCAGCGCTAGCCGCCTCTGGACACTCTCGCCGCTCTCAAGAGGCGACTCATGTTCAGCCGCGCGCGCGCCTACGCCGCGGCCGTCGCGTGGGAGTTGATGAGGTCGTCGACGATGCTCGGGTCCGCGAGCGTGGACGTGTCGCCGAGGCCCTCGCGGTCGACTTCGACGCCGTCGGCGGCGATCTTGCGGAGGATGCGGCGCATGATCTTGCCGCTGCGCGTCTTCGGGAGGCCCGGGGCCCAGTGGATGGCGTCGGGCGCCGCGAAGGCCGCGACGTCCGACTTGGCGCGCAGCTTGAGCTCCGTCACCAAATCGTCGCCCGCGTCGGCCTCGCCGGCCTCCGTGAGCGTGACGAAGGCGTAGAGCGAGTTGCCCTTGAGGTCGTTGGGGATGCCGACGATGGCCGCCTCGGCGACGGCCGGGTGCGCGACGAGCGCGGACTCGACCTCGGCCGTGCCGATGTTGTGGCCGGAGAAGACGACGACGTCGTCGACGCGGCCCGTGATCCAGAAGGCGCCGTCGGCGTCGCGGCGCGCGCCGTCGCCCGTGAGGTAGTAGCCGTCGTAGGAGAAGTAGGTCTGCTCGAAGCGCTCGTGGTCGCCCCAGCACGTGCGCGCCATCGACGGCCACGGCGCGCCGATGGCCAGGAGCCCCGAGGCCTCCTCGCCGGCGACGGCGGGGATCTCCGATCCCGTCGTCCCGTCGAGCAACACGGGCACGACGCCCGCGCAGGGCGTCTGCGCCGCGCCGGGCTTGTGCGGCGCGGCGCCCGCCGCGAGCGACGGCGCGATCATGATCGCGCCCGTCTCCGTCTGCCACCACCTGGGCAGCAAAAGAGTGATTCAACGTCGCTTCAACGTGAGTGTTCCGCGCGCGCGCGTTCCGGAAAAAGCATCCACGCTTCGAGGCCGTTCCGAAAGATGATCGCTCGTCCAAAAATCAGCCAAAACGAGTGGAAAACGGCCGAGAAAGGAGCCTTTGAAGTTGGGAATGTCGCTCTCTTTTGCTGCCCTGGCCACCACGTGTCGGCGATGGGGCACCGGTCCTCGCCGACGACCTCGCGGTACCACTTCCAGGCCTCCGGGTTGATGGGCTCGCCCACGGAGCCCAGCACCTTGAGCGATTTTCGCGACGTCGCTTTGACGGGGTCGTCGCCGGACCGCATGAGCGCGCGGATGGCCGTCGGCGCCGTGTAGACGTGCGTGACCTTGTGGTCGTCGACGACGCGCCAGAGGCGGCCCGCGTCGGGCCAGGACGGCACGCCCTCGAAGATGACCTGCGTCGCGCCGTTGAGCAGGGGCCCGTAGGCGACGTACGTGTGGCCCGTGATCCACCCGCAGTCCGCCGTGCAGAACCAGACGTCGTCGTCGCGCACGGGCGCGTCGAAGACGGACCGGAAGGAGAAGCCCGCGCCGACCATGTAGCCGCCCGTCGTGTGGACGATGCCTTTCGGCGCGCCCGTCGAGCCGGACGTGTAGAGGATGAAGAGCGGGTCCTCGGCGGCCATCCACTCGACGCCGCCCTGTTCCGGGTCCGCGGCGGCGAGGGCGTCGTGCCACCAGGCCTGGTTCGCCGCCAGCGCGGGCGCGGGGTACGCGTCGTCGTCCAACCGCCGGAGGACGATCGAGCCGCCCGCGACGTCCTGGCCGTCGGCCTTGGCGATGGCCAGCGCGTCGACGACGATGGACCAGAGGTCCACGACCTTCTTGCCGCGGCGCACGCCGTCCGCGGCGACGACGGCCTTGGCGCCGGACGAGGAGATGCGCGCGGCGAGCGAATCCTTCGAGAAGCCGCCGAAGACGACGGTGTGCACGGCGCCGATCCGCGCGCAGGCGAGCATGGCCAGCGCGAGCTCGGGCACCATGGGCATGAAGAGGATCACCCTATCGCCCTTGCCGACGCCGCGCGCGCGGAGCGCGGCCGCGAGCTTGGTTACTTCTTCGAGCGCCTGGGCAGCAAAAGAGAGATTCAACGTCGCTTCAATGTGAGTGTTCCGCGCGCGCGCGTTCCGGAAAAAGCATCCACGCTTCGAGACCGTTCCGAGAGATGATCGCTCGTCCAAAAGTCAGCCGAAACGAGTGGAAAACGGCCGAGATCGGAGCCTTTGAAGTTGGGAATTTCGCACCCTTTTGCTGCCCTGTCGAGCGCCTCGCCGTAGGTGTAGGTCGCGGGCTGGGGCGCGGCCTCGCCCTCGTCGTTGCGCTCGGCGATGAAGCAGACCTTGTCCCCGAGGCCCGCGGCGACCTGGCGGTCGAGCGCGTTGTAGCAGAGGTTCGTCGTCCCGCCGTCGAACCACTTGGCGTAGATCTCGCCCTCGGAGCGCTTGAAGTTCGCGGAGAAGACGTTGGACGCGTCGAAGGGCGTCTCCCAGTGGTAGCGGCTCGCCTCCTCGGCCCAGAAGGCGCCGGGATCGCTCACGGACTTCTCGTAGCGCGCCGCGACCTCGTCGGCGGTGATCGACGCCTGCGCCATGAACTCGGCCGGCACGTCCGGCAAGTAGTCGGCGATGGCCGTGGCCTCCACCGGGCGCACGAGGGGCGCCGTGTGGGCGGCGCGCGGCACATGGAAGGCCTGGGCCGAGCCCAGGAGGGCGGCGGCGAAGCACTTGATCTCGTGCTTGACCATCGCGATCTGCTGCGAGAATGTCGTCACACAAGCCGACTGTGCAGCCGAAGCTGCCGCGTGCCAGTCCGGACGCGTGACTCGCGACCAGCCCACACCGCAGGAGAGCCCTTACCCGAAACAACCCCCCCTTTCACGCGGCGTCGCGCGCGCGGATGCCGCCGAAGGGCACCTTGGCCTCGGCCTTGGCCGCCTCCGGCACCGCGACGCGGCGGCTCGCGGCCGCGCGGAGGATGGCGTCGACGACGTCGGCGCCGAGCCAGTCGTCGACCTTGGCCTTGGACGCGTGGGCGACGGCGAAGGCGACGTCGCGGCCCGCGGCGCAGAGGCAGGCGACGCCGAAGAGCGCCGCGTCGCGGTCCGGCTCGGGCAGCGCGCCGCGCGCGCGCCAGAACGCGAGCGCGCGCATGGCGTAGACGACGCAGTAGTCGTCGGGGCTGGCGAGCTTGCCGAGGTGCTGGTCGCGGTAGGCGCAGATGATGGCCCGCGAGTAGCGGCCCACCGCGTCCGCGAAGTAGTCGGCCTGGAGCGCGACGTCGCCGCGCTCGAGCCACTCCCCCCGCTCGCCGTCGCCGCCGCTGGGCAGGCGCGGCATGGCGTTGAGGTTCGACACGAGCTTGAACGCCGCCCACCAGTCGCCGGGGTCGTCGGGCTCGCAGACGACCTCCGCGGGCTCGATGAGCGCGCGCGACCGGTCGGGCACGCGGAAGGGCTCGAAGACGTTGAGCGTCGCCCAGCCCTCGTGGGGCCAGGCCAGCTCGACGCGGGGCGCGCCGTCGTCGAGCCAGGCGACGGACACGCCCCAGGCCTCCGCGCCGCGCTTGAGCGTCGCGACCTCGGCGCTCTCGAGATCGCGGCCCGCGCGGACCTTGGCGCCCTTGCCCGCGACGCGGAGCCAGGCGCCCGCGGGCGGGCCGTTGCCGCCCGGCGCCGCGAAACGCGGCCGGCCGTCGTCGGGGCAGGGGCCGCCGGCCTCGGGCGCCGGCGCCGCGGCCGCGGCCGGCGCGAGCGAGAGCGCTTCGCCCTCGGCGAAGGCGTCCCCGACGGCGTCGCCGGGCGCCGCGACGCTGCCGTCGCTCCGCGCGACGCGCGCGGCGCCGGCGTCGATGGCCGGCAGCTCGGGCCGCGACTTGGCCACGGCCTTGGCGAAGGCCTTGGTCGCGGCGGCCACCGTCTTTTGGGGCGGGAGCACGAGCTTGAGCTTGACGCTCGCCGCGCCGCCCGGCGCGTACTCGAGGTAGATGGTCCGGTTCGACGCCATGCGCGACCGGCGCTCCCGGCGGGAGCGTTCGAAGGCCGGAAACGAAGCAGCCCTACGAAAGCCCGCGCAGGGCGGGCTGCTTCGGCGCCGCACGTTCGGCTTCAAGGCCCGGATCCGCCTTAAGATCCGCCCCGCGGCGGCCACGGCCAGGGCGCACGTCTCCCTCGACGGCTCCAAGCTCACCGCGCGTGTCTCAACACGAGGGACCTTATCATCGCCCCTGCTGGGTGACGACGGTCGTCGGGACGTCGCCGAATTCGACGGGCTCGCTCGCGGCGCGGCGGCGCGCGTCCGGCTCGACGGCGTCGTCGCCCGCGCCGCAGGGGTTCGTGGACCACTGGCCGCCGCCGAAGCAGCCGAGGACGTTGAGGTAGCCGTCGTCGTCGCCGGCGCCGCCGTCGCCGCCGCCGGGCCGCGCCGCGGCCTCGCGGTTCGCCTTCCAGAGCTCGTGGCGGAAGGCCTCGGCGCGGCGGGCCTCGCGCGCGCCGTCCTCCTTGGCCGCTTCGAGGGCCTCGCGGAGGCCCGCGGCCTCGCGCTCGAGGTCCGCGGCGCGCGCCGCGACGACGCGGCGCCGCTCCTCGAGCGCCGTCGCGGACTTGCCCGCCTTGCGCAGCAGCTCGAGCCCCCGCTCGCGCGCCGCCGTCTCCGCTCTGAGGCCCTCCTCCGCCGCCGCGGCGCGCGCGGCCGCCGCGTCCGCGCGCGCGGCCGCGTCGTCGCGGTCCGACGCGGCCGCGGCCGCGGCGACGCGGAGCTCGACGAGCGCCGCCGCGGGCGCGCCCGCGGCGAGCTGCGCGGCGCAGTCGTCGCCGAGGGCCGCGAGGTCGCGCCGGTGCCGGTCGCGCGCGGCCGCGGCTTCCTCGCGGAGCGCCTCGCGCTCGGCCGCCGCGGCCGCGAGCTTCGCCGCGCCGTCGCGCACCTGGGCCTCGAGGCTCTCGACGACGCGGCGCACCTGCGCGTAGTCCGACGCCGTCGGCGCGCCGTCGTTGTGCGCGTGCGCGACGGCCGCGAGCTCGACGGCGTGGCGGCCCGCGGCGTCGCGCGCGGCCCCTCTGAGCTCGTCGTGCGTCGCCGCGGCTTGCCGGAGCGCCGCCGCGTGGTCGCGCTCGAGCTGCATGACGTCCTGCTTGAGCTGGCGCAGCGCGGCGCGGTGCTTCTCCTCGGCCTGCTTCAGCTCCGCGGCGTGCGCTTTCCGGAGGCCGTCCGTCGCCGCCGCGACCTCGAGCTCGCCGCCGCGGTCGCGGAGCTGGGCGCGCAACCGGTCGTTCGACGCGCGCGTCTCGTCGAGCTCGACGCCGAGCTTCGCGACCTTGCGCGCGGCCGCCGCGGCGTCGTCCGCGCGGTCGCGCGCCGCGGCGCGGCGCGCGAGCTCCGCGCGCGCGGCCGCGAGGGCCTCGCCGTCGGCTTTGCGGCGCTTCGCGTGCGCCTCGAGGTCCCGCGCGGCGGCGTCGTAGGCCGCGCGCGTCTCGAGGTGCGCCGCGCGGTGCCGCTCGAGCTCCGCGTCGTGCGCCGCCGTCGCGCGCGCGAGCGCGTCCGCGTGC